GGAGGCGATACCCGATATGAATATCGGATCGGCGCATCCCTAGTTTGATTAGGGTTGATTAGACAGTGGGTCCCCAAGAGCAGGGTTGAAGGAGCTACCTATGGAGTAGAACAAAGTATCTTCATTTAATACGCTGTTAAATGTGCTTTCAAACTTTAGATGTGTAAGCTGGACCATTAGCAATTCTGGATAACTGTTTTGTCTGTACTGATTTAGCTCTTTGTGTTCTTAGTTGATAATGGTAAAAACATAATTTGTTGACAATGGCATGGCAGACTGAAAAACTGCAGTTGGCATGGTGTACTCTATCGAAAACTATTTAGAACCACATTTTTCTATTTTTTCTATTTATTATGCACACTGTTTTTTGTGACCTTGTATTCAGATTGAAATGATGTTTTATTGGAATGACAAACAGTGTACTGTGTTATTGAAATATTAATTAAAAGACTACAGGAAATATCTGTACTTCAAAAGATTAATTTATCACAGTGTAACTGTTTGAGTGAATGGAGTGACCAAAGATGCTTGAAAAATTCAACTTCACCACCGTTCAAATATTTGGGGTTGATAAGGTTTTTTTTTTTCAGTGTTTTTTAAATAAGTCCCTTATGCTCTCATGCTTAAGAACAGCATTTATTTGAAAGAGAAAACTTTTGCGACATTATAAATGATTAATTTAATGTGTCCTTGCTGAATAAAAGTATGTTTTTCTTTCAAAAATCTTTTTAATGGCAGTGTACATTTTAACCCTAAATTCTTTATGATGAAAATAAAAAAACACGTTTTTATCATGTTATTGAATGGGAGAATCCGCTTAGGACACTTCCTATGCAATTTAACAAGCAGGATATCTAAATGTGTTCTAACCTATAGTCTCTTTCTCTCTCTTTTCTGAATCAGGATTGCTGTGTTATTGTGAGCGATGTGTAAATCGGACATGCAACACAACTGGCCTGTGTTTTGCGGTCATTACAAAGTCTGCCGGACAGATCGTGACTCAGGAGAGTCAGTGCATTCAGCAGGATGAACTTTACCCACCGGACAGGCCTTTCCAGTGTGCCCCCTCCAACAATGGAAAGCATCCGTACTGCTGCAACACACACATGTGCAACAGGAACCCAAAAGTCAGCCCAGGTGAGAGAATAATATGACCACGATGACCATTGAGTGGGCTTGTTTTGTCAAGATATTGTGTATCTATAACTTCATAAAAGTTTGTCACAATACCCGAGTTCATATTTAGATTATATTGTGTGGTGCAATATAGTGCTTTTATAAGTGCATCTAAATCCCGTGATTCTTTGACGGTGTGTCACTTGATTGAGTCATTTTTTGTGGTGTCTTTGAGCTCACAGATGCAAGACACATTGTGTCAATACATTTCCATGTGGCTTTTGTATATGAAGGATGCGTTGCATCCTGCAGTAATCTGAAAACCTTGGAGTGCCACTGACTCTTGCGTCACAGATAGGGACGTTTATTAAT